TACACATATACATGCACACATACACACACAACAGCAGTCACACATAGGCCTGAGATACACATATACATGCACACATACACAAACAACAGCAGTCTCACATAGACCTGAGGTGCACACATACATGCACACATACCTGTGATAGTCCCCCGGTTGCTGACTGTGTCTCCGTTCATGTTCTTTAGCACCGCTTCAACGAACAGATTGATTTGTGTGGGCGTGGGCATGATACGGACTTCGATTGCACTCACAGTCTCGGTGCCCTGCATCGATGAGATGGACGGAAAAATTTGGTTTAGATCTCGTGAAAACGAAGTTTGTAGCACGCTTATGCTGCCGGCGTGGACATGCACACCACACCGTTGCAATGTACTACTACGAACAGTTAGATTCCAACATCATGTGGATATATATATGTGTGTGTGTGCGTGCGTGTGTGCCTGTATATATATATATATACACTACCCTCGTTACACTACCCTCGTACCAGCGTGCAGTCGACTGAGACGGTGTAGTCCATCTGTCCTGCGAGTGGCTTGCCCTGGATCATGTCTCCCACGAGTGCAGGTGAGGTTGATGTGACTGTGCTGATGGCGTTGACTGGCAGCCGTAGGGCCTCTCGGCGCAGTGCTTCTTGTGTTGCGTCGCTGAATTTCTGTGACCCGTCCGATAACTCTAAGAAGCGATTGACTGTGGCGTTCTGTTTAAGGGTTGTTAGGGTTTAGGGTTTTTAATCGTATTGTGTATATATGTGGTAAGCAATAGTACGTATATGTGAGTGGGTGGGTGTTGTCTGTTTATATGCATCTACCGTGTAGATATGTGTGGCTGTGTGGCCATGTGCATGAAGCATGTAGTATAGCATGACACATATGCACGCGTGCGTGTGTGTGTGCCGGGCGTTTGTGTGTGGGGCTGAGTGAGACACGTGTGTGTGTGTTTGATTGTGATTTTAGGGTTTTTAATGGTTTTTAGGGTTTTAGGGTGTTTGATTGTGGGTGTGTACTAGGGGGTAAGCCGTATGCATGTTTCGTGAACTTCGTATGTGTAATATTTTAAGTCTGCATCCATAGACTGCCACACATTTATAGTCTTGGTAGGTACGCGTAAACCCTGAAACCCCTAAACCCAAAACCTTAAATATCAATCGGTGGCTGTCTGCGACAATTCATCAGCTGCACGAATAAAACTTTCTACTCAACACTGAACGTGTGCGTTCATATAGTAGCAACGTATGGTCTCGTATGGTTAGTATTAGGGTTTAGGGTTTTTCTAGTATACGCTTGTACACACCCGCGCATAAATACACACCACACCCACCTGATACCGCATAGGGTTTGTATTGCTGATCTCCGCCAACTGCCGCACATCAAAGTAGGCCGATCCGTCATAGGGGATGTACGGGTTGACCTTACACAGCAGTCTGTCCAGCGTGACCACCCTGATCACCTGCGTGTGCGTGCGTTGGGGATAGGGCGACAGCCACAGCTCCACACTACAGTTACCGGCCACTGAGGGCCTGTGGAGAGGAAGACAGGGACAACCCGAATGTATGTATATAGCTTAGAGCTTGGTGACTGTGGGTGGGGTTGTACCTATACACAGACATGGTACGGTTTGCTAGGCCTCTGACTCATTGCTTTGGGATAGTGTGATTGACTGCTTGCCCATTGAAATGGGTGCATAGCCCAACAGATAGCACGCTCTCTCACACACACTCGCAGGAATAAGATTAAACAGGTCCAGGAGATACCAACACTTCACGCGAAGCTGTATTAAACGCTAACAATGCAGTATCACATACCAACACTTGATGGGAAACTATATTGAACGCTACCAATGCAGTATCCGAACTCTAAACCCAGGCCAATATGCAACATTCCATAAACATGTTCTATATGTACATGCATAGTACATGTTCTATATGTACATGTATGGGACATGTATATGTATGGTACATGCTGTATTTATCTATATGGCAGTACATATACATTTCCCGTGTGTCTTACCTCGGGAGTATCTGCCACCCCTCGCCCACCTCATCATAAACCAAATCACACACCACCGGACTTCCCGCCGCCGCCGCCTTAAGGCTGACCATGAGGTGTGGGTTGTGTGTCTCTAGGCGTGTGACACCTGTAGCATCTACCACCTCCACTTTGCTGATGATGGTGGTGTTGGGAATGCCTGCGAGCATGACGTTCCGATCGGCGGTGATGGTAGATGAGCTGTGTGTGGAACGGGGAATAAACACGCGGGCAGTTGAGGATAAGGTTTGGGGTGTGTAGGGTTTTTAGGGTTTTAGGGTTTTAGGCCGAGAAGGGAACTGAAAAGTGGGGTTATAGGGTTTTAGTAGAGCGGCAGCATGCACATATTATGGGCCGTCTAGAGACGAGTATGAAGTGTAACAGATGTAACTATGGCAACCATCGTATGCGCAGTGAGGAATTGAGTGCAAATGGTACAATCAAAGTAATTGTAATATGAATAGGTGCTTATGCTGACAAGTACAAGGCACTTTTCTATTCTTGTTAAATATTTCTAGAACGAATATATATATATATATATATATATATATATATACTATATTATATATATATATATATATATATATTATATA